AAATTAATACACACTTAAACTTAAAAAACATAACACACTAGAATTGAAAAAACTTAAATTAAAAGACAATGAGTTTAAATTTGAGTAAATTTTGGGGATTGCCTCACAAGTTGCCAAAACTCAACAAACCGAAAATCTTTATTAGCTTCAACATGGTAAGCCTCAAGAACATTCTTTAGCAAAGTATTTTCATTTTCACCATTTCCAGTTTCATGCATCACCCTATGAAACATACAGTTAAACTGCGTTGTAAGTGCGTTTGCGTGCCTCCATTTGGAGTAGATTTATTCTTTACCTCGAGGGATTGGGGCTTTGGGTTGTATTTTTCGGTGATTTTCCTTCAATAGGTTGTTGTAGGGAGGTTAATGTGCATTGAGTATTCTGTAACATCAACCTATGAACGAGCAAACAACATCTCTTCTTCAAACGACCAAACACGAACCACACAAGCCATTAACGATGAAGTTTTGAAGAAAATGAAAAATAAGAAAGTTAGGAGAATTGAATTAAGAAAATTTGAATGAGGTTGAGAATGAATAAGGATGATGATATTTATAGTTGAAGATTGAGGGTTTAAAATTTGAAATTTCGAAAAAAAAAAAGCAGTTATAAGAATTTGAGTTAAGGAGTAAAAGAAAAACAACGAAAAAAACGTCATTGGGTTGCTGAGACCTTGCCCCGCCAAAGTTGCCGAATACGATGTCGAATACACGCTGACGAGCCTTAGTTAAAATTAAACTCCAAACAACAAAAAAATCCTCTATGATAAAAAGATTGTTATAATTAAAAATAAAACGGAAAAACTCTTCAAAAAATTAAAATGACCGGTTAGTAATACACAATTAATGCTTAAGATTCTAATTAAAATACACAATTAATGCTTAAGATTCTAATTAAAAGCATGATCTTCAAGCAGTTGGAGCCGGTTCACAAACGGTTCGTCTGCCAAGAGAGGGCACCTGAACTCTTCATATTCTTCTTCCTTTTCGTATCTACTTTTCTAATGTGGTTACTCGGAGTACTTGTTTTCTTGAAATTACCAGGGTTTTCCTCTGGTCTTCGTTCTCCTTCTTATTCATCCTTTTTCCTCCTCTTGATCCAAAATACATTCTATAAACCCATTTTTCTTCATGTATTTGTTGTCCATTCTATAAACCCACATTATACCTACTTACAGGTTACAATTTCCATCGGATGAATAATACATCTCACGCCACCTACCCTTCTTTTCTACCATCTTCTTTTCCCTTCTTGATGAAACGCTTCACTTAACTTCTCCTCTACCGCCTTTCTTTCTTGAAACGGAAGCCTCTCATCCCCAATAACAACTTATACACCCTAACGCATCTGAAGAGAACACTTGAAATATTCTTTTGTTTGATCTCAGCAAATCAAACCTCCGGTATATTGAAGCAAATCAGAAAAATCAAGATCGATGTTCGCCATGGTTTTCCCAGATCTCTGAATTCACCCAAATCGTCACCTTTCATTGGCTCCTGCGCCGGCGATGGCCACCATTGACAGAGGGTTTCTTATGCCGGTCTGATTCTACCACTTGTTTCCCTTTTTCAGAATCATGAGTTATTTTTGAATTCTTTTGGGTTTAAGTACGGTATGCTGCGTTAATTTATTATTATTATTATTATTTTATTTTTTTATTATATTAGGAATTCGATCATGGAATATAATTATAGTTTGTTTGCGTCTTTTTATTTTTCAAGAACACAAAGTATTTGACAACGTAGTTATTTTTTTTTACAGGAATATGGATGTTGCCACCTGAAACCATGGTGCCCCCTTCAAAGCCAACCTCATGAGAAACCAACATCTTCAAAGGTTATTTTCTTGAAACATTCATGGTGTTTAAAATATTTACCCAAATAGAATGCACGATTGATATAATTTCATGGGTTTATATGCAAGAAAAGCGATTGCACTTTCTGTTATTTCTTGTTATTAGATTACATTTTCATTTAAAAAGTTTACCAATTTTAAAGATTGTATTGATTATGTATGACTTATGTTTTGTGCTATGTGTTTCTAGGATCCGACACAAGTTATGGGAAAAGACAGATTTTTTTTTCTTTAACCAATTATATTCAGTGATGGGTATGTCATGTTGCTGTTATTCTTTTTATATTTGAATTTTCTCATTTACAATGTAAGATACAGTTTTCTAATTATATTGAGTGATATTTAACATCTGTATAATTCCACTTTTCTTGTCACTTATAGTGGGGATGCTGAATCTTGTTATACTGCAAGTGTATTGAGAAATAGCAAAATACTTTCATTGCTTAATCCAGGTATGTTCCACTAAACAACTCTATCTTTTTCTGTGTGTCCTAAATTCTTGTTGTATGTATTAGTTTAACATTGATTAGTATTTTAAACCAAAACAACTTCAATATGCATAGGGCTAAATCCAAGAGATAGCACAATACTTTAAGTTCTGCTTATGAACTGAGTAACGAAACGATATTCAAAACAAAAACGAATAGCAAAGAACAAAATAATTTTAAACCAAGAATGAAGAACAAAACCTTTTCTCATTTTTTTTTCTTTTACAACATTGTAACATCAAACTATGAAATATGTTCCTATTATTAGCACATTGCATTTTTAGAAATCATCCCATTTTTAATACTGTGTTTTAACTTTCTTTTACAACATTGAAACATCAATCTTTTTTTTCTCATCTAATTATCACATTATAACATTCTACTTTTCGTTTTCATACTATTTATACATTTCATCTACAAAAAGCATCCTAATTTTAGCATTACACTCTCACTTTCCCATCTGCTACAACATTGACACATTAAACTTTTTTTTTCTCATCTATGTAGTTTACTTTGAAAAATCATCCATTTAGAGCATTCTACTTTCAGTTTTTTTATTATTTACACATTACATTTTCAAAAATTAGTCTATTTTTCTCATTATACTCTTAGTTTTCTTTCTGTTACAATATTAAAACATCAAACCTTTTTACTCATCTATGCATTTTACTATAAAACATCATCCAGTTATAACATTGTACTTTTATTTTTCTTATTATTAACATTCCATTTTTAAATATCATCCAATTTTTAGCATTGGACTCTCACATTCCTTTCTGTTACAACATTGAAGCATCAAACTTTTTTTTCTCCCATCTATCAATTGTACTTTGAATAACCTTCTAATTATAGCATGCCACTTTCGGTTTTCTTATTATTATCACATTGAATTTGAAAGAGTATCCCATTTTTAGGATTGTACTATCAGTTTTCTTTTTGTTACAATATTGAAACATTAAACTTTTTTTATTCATCCATGCATTTAACTTTGAAAAATCATCAAATTATAGCATTTTATGTTTTGTTTTTTTATTATTAACACATTGCATTTTGAAATTATCCAATTTTTAGCATTTTACTCTCAATTTTCTTCTTGTCACTACATTGAAACTTCAAACTTTTTTTTTACTCATCCATGCATTTTACTTTGAAAAATCATCTATTTACAACAATTTTCTTTTAAATATCTTATTATTTAAACATTGCATTTTCAAAAATCATCTCATTTTTTGACATTGTACTACTTTATATTCTGTTACAACATTACAACTTTGAAACATAAAACCTGTTTTAGTCATCTCTGCATTTTACTTTGTAAAATCATCTATTTATAACAATCTACTTTTAAATATCTTATTATTTAAACATTGCACACTCAAAAATCATCCCATTTTTGGCATTGTACTGTCAAATATTTTTTTTCTCACAACTCACAACATTGAAACATCAGTCTTTTTTTTTACTCATCTCTGCATTTTACTTTGAAAAATCATCATGTTTTTAGCATTGTACTCAATTTTTTTCCCTTCTAATAACATTTAAACATCAATTTTATTTTAATCATCCATGCATTTTTCTTAGTTTTATCAAACTCCTTTTTCAAAAATCATCCAATTTTTGACATTTTACCCTTATTTTTCTTTTCTGTGTTTTGGTACAACATTGAAACATTATATATTTATTTTTTATCATCCATTTATTTTTCTTAGTATTGTCAAATTTCCTTTTCAAAAATCATCCCACTTTTATCATTTTACTAACTTTTCTTTCTGTTACAATATTGAAAAATCATTTTTTTTACCAATCCATGCTTTATTTGAATTTTTTTATTCCAATTATAACATTTTACTTTTAGTTTTCTTATTATTAAGACATTCCAATTATAACATTTTACTTTCAGTTTTCTTATTATTAATATGATACATTTTCAAAAATCATCATCTCATCATTTTTTCTTACTTTTCTTTATGTTACAACATTGAAACATCTTACTTTTTTGTACTCATCCATGTGTTTTACTTTGAATTTTGAAAATCATCCAACTATAATATTTCTACTTCAAGTTTTCTTAATATTAACATATTGCCATTCAAAAAATCCTCCCATTTTTAGCATTGTAGTTTCACTTTTTCTTATGTTACAAGATTGAAACAACAAACATTTTTTACCCATCCAAGCATTTTACTTTAAAAAGCATCTAATTGTGGCATGAGTAATATTCTGTTAGAATATTGTAACTTTTTTTGCTAGAATATTGAATGAGTTTCCATGCTGACATGGATTTGTTTACATATGATATTTTTCAATTTTTTATGGAAATAAAAAATGCCGAAAAGCAAAAACATATTCTTTTTATTTTTTTTGTTGAAACCTAAGATGAGTGGCTAGGATCGCGTCCCTATGGCATCTACCCATCATTGGAACCATTAGTAACCACAAAGTTTCAGACTTGATCATGGAGTTTATCAAACTCCCATGAAAATGACTCATATAAGCTTAAAACAACAACATTAGAAAGAAAGAAACATAAAGCTCAATCCTTGAGGACTTACATTATCTTTTTTCTTTTTAAAAAACTACAAGCTGATGCTTCCACTTGCAAGAAACCATGATCATGGAAAAGACTTATAATTTGTTTTGTCATGTCATGTGTAACAAATGGGGCATACGAGTCATTGCAAGAACTCACCCGATTCAAGGAAATCCTGCAATTCCTTCTATTACAAACCAACTAAAAAATCCATGTTCAAAGAAATAGTTAACAAAAACCAAAAGGTAGCAGTTGTACTTCATACAGATTCAAGTATTACACTATCTACTTTCCTGTACAGCTGCTACCTTTTGAAGCAAATCAAACCTCAAGAATCTTGAAGCAAAACAGAGAAATCAAGAACGATATTCTGCATGGGTGTCCTGTATTGTAGTTTTTTCATTGACATCTTTACTTTCACCCAAATCGGAGAATGCCACAGTGGACAGAAGGTTTATCTTGAGGTACTTTTTTTTAATCCTATTGATTTTAATTTAACCTTTACATGAGGTGTTAAGTACCTTTGTAGCATTCATTAAACTTACAGTGTTATTGGGGTTTGCATATTTTTTTGATTATATTAGGAATCTGGTTATGGAATATTATTATGGGTTGTTTGTGTTTTTTTAGTGTTTGACAGAATGCCCCAATGAAAACTTGAGTCAATAATCTCTTTTTATTTCCATCTTGCTAACAATTGGGTAGCTATTTCTGAAATATAAATGCAATTTACTTTTGTATAATTTTCAATGTTTAAATGCAAGAAAAAAGAATGCAGTTTATGTTATTTTCTTATTATTACATTACATTTTCATTTTTCCCTTATTAACGTGATGCTTTCAAACTTATATTTATCACATCATTTTAATTTAAAATGTTTACACATTATAATGATTGCATTAGTTATATATATGACACTATGACTTATGTTTTGTGCTGTGTTTCTAGGATCTGTCACATGTTATGGTGAAGCTACAAAAAGTTTAGTATCATACTTGTCAACTCGTGACTTGAAAATGAAAATTTTCTTTAGCTGTTGATATTCTTTCCATTGTAGTAGTTCTTTTAGGGTTTAATTGGTTTTTCTCTTGATTTTATAAAACACCCACCAATTATTTTGAAGATGATAATGAAAGCATTTGACACTTAAGTTAAGATGTGGGCATTCTTTTTGGATTTTAGAGCAAGAGCTTTTCTTTATATGTTGCTTGCAACTACTTATATTCATTGCTGGGTATGTTCTGCTGTTATTATTTTTTTTTTGTTGACAATTGAGTGATAGTAGACATCTATTAATTTCCTCTTTTTCTTGTCATTTACAGTGGGGATACCGAATCTAGTTATACTCCAAGTGTATGGAGAAATAGCAAAATACTTTCATTTCTTACTCCAGGTATGTTCCAAAAAATGTCTGTATATTTTTGTTGTATGTTCTAAAAGGGCTAAATGCAAGAATTAGCAAAATACTTTAAGTTCTGCTATGAAGTAAGTAACAAAATGATATTTAAAACAACAACAAAGAGCAAAGAACAAAGAACAAAGAACAAAAGCTTTCCTGTTTTTGAATAGTTCACCTAAAACGCCAGAAATAAAGAAGAAAACACTTATTCTCTTTAGTTACAACATTTAGATATTAAACATATTTTCCTTATCAATGGCATTTTACATTGAAAAATCTACAAATTAAAACCTTTTTTCCTTATCAATTGCATATTGCATTGTACTTCTAGTTCTTAATTCTTTTAAAGCATATTTTCCAAAAAAAAATTATGAATGCATTTTACTTTGAAAAATCTTCTAATTGTAGCAATCTACTTTCAGTTTTCTTATTTATGCAATTTGTTTTAAAAAATATTCCAATTAAGCCATTCTACTCTTAGTTTTTTTATTAGCAGCACATTGATTCTTTAAAAATTAACCCATTTTTAGCATTTAACTTTTAAGTATAAAAAATCATCCTTTTTTTAGCATTATACTTTTACTTGTCTTTTTGTTATACCATTGAAACATTAAACTTTTCTTTTTCATCATCATTGCATTATACTTCAAAAATTAACCCTTTTTTAGTAATCTACTTTCGGTTTTTTTAACTTATAATTATAAAAAATTAACCCATTTTTAGCATTTAACTTTTAAGTTTCTTATTAGAAGCATATATCATTTTCAAAATCCATTCCATTTTTAGCATTTTACATATAATTTAAAATTCATTCCTGTTTTAGCATTTTCCTTTCACTTTTCTCTGTTGTTACAACGTTGGAACATGAAACTTTTTTTTTTTTTTTTCTAATTTATGCATTTACTTTGAAAAATCTTCTAGTTATAGCATTTTACTAGTAGCACATTACATTTTCATAAATCTTCTCATGTTTAGCATTGCAAATATAATTTAAAAAATATATTCTATTTTTAGCATTGCATATATTGATTTAAAAAATCATCCCATTTTTTGCATTGTACTGTAAGTTTTCTTTCTGTTACAACATTGGAACATCAAACTTTTTTTTCTCATCGATGCATTTTACTTTGGAAGATCTTCCGTTTTTAGGATTCTACTTTCAGTTTTCCACATTGTAGCAGATTTCCTTTTATTGAATTACCCCATTTTGAGCATTATATTATGACTTATTTTAATGTTAAAACATTGAAACATCAAACTCTTTTTTACTAATATATTCATTTTATTTCGAAAAATCTTCCAATTAAAACATTCTAGTTTATGTTTTCTATTTAATAGCATATTGCATTTTTAAAAAACATCATATTTTCGACATTATACTTTTACTTTTCTTTAAGTTACAACATTGAAGCATTAAACTTTTTTTTACCTCATATATGCATTTTACTTTGAAAAATCTTCCATGTATAACTTTCTACTTTTAATTTTATTATTAGTAGCTCCTTACATTTCAAAATACATCATATTTCTAGCATTTCACGTATCTTTTTTAAAATTCATCTCATTTTTAGCATTATATTTTCACTTTCCTATTTGTTATAACATTGACTTATCAAACTTTTTTCCCTCATCATTGCAATATACATTAAAAGATCATCAACATTATAGCATTTTACTTTCAGTTGCCTTACCCATTGCATTTTAAAAAAATATTCCTTTTATAGAATTACACATTTTTAAAAAAAAATCCTCCCATATTTAGCATTGTACTTTAGTTATTCTTTCTGTTACAACCTTGAAACATCAAACATATTTTTTCTTATTTATGCATTTTACTTGAATAATCTTCCAATTAAGACATTCTTTTCCAGTCTTTTTATTAGTAGCACATTGCATTTTTAAAAATCAACCTATTTTTAGCATTTCACATAGAATTATAAAAAAGTATCCCATTTTTAGCAATGTACTTACACTTTTTTTATATAACATTGAAGCATCAAACTGTATTTTACCTCATCTAAGCATTATTTTGAAATTTTTTCCAATAATAGAATTCTACATTTAGTTTTCTTAATAGTAGAACAATGCATTTTCAAATCATCTGTGCATTTTACTTTACTTCTTGTATTCTTAATAGTAGCACATTTCATTTTAAAAAATCATCTCATTTTTAGCATTGTATTGTCACTTTTCTTTCTGTTACAACATTGAAACATTAACTCTTTTTTTTTTCTCAACTATGCAATTTACTTTGAAAGATCATCAAGTTCTAGCATTTTATTTTTATTTTTCTTATTAGTAACACATTTCATATTAAAAATACATCCACTTTTTAGCATTTAATTTTTATTTTTTTTTTAAAATCATCTTATGTTTAGCATTACAAGTACTTTTCTTTTTGTTTTAACATTGAAGAATCCATTTGAAATCATCTTATTTTTTTTAAAATCATCTCATTTGAAAAGTCCATCCTATTTTTATCAATTCATATACTATTTTCTAAAATCATCCTATTTTTACCGTTCTATTTTTACTTTTCTTTATGTTATTGAAACATTAAACTCTTTTTTCTCATCAATGCATTTTACATCGAAAAATCTTCCAATTATAGTATTCTACTTTATATTTTCTCTTTATTAGCACATTGCATTTTCAAAATACATCCTATTTCTGGCATTGTACTTTCACTTTTCTTTTTGTTATAACATTGAACATTGTCCTTTATGTTTTTTTTTAGAAGTTATCACATTTTTAGCATACATAATTTTATAAAACCATCCCATCTTTAGCATTTCACATATTATGTTTAAAAATCATCTTATTTTAAGCGTTGTACTCTTAATTTACAACATTGAAACATTAGTTTTTTTTTTTTCTCATCTATGCATTTTTCTTTGAAAGATCTTTTAAATATAGCACTCTACTTTAGTTTTCTTATTAGTAGCACACTTCATTTTTAAAATTTATCCTATTAGTAGCTTTTCGCATATATTTTTTAAATATTATCGCATTTTTAGCATACATTATTTTAAAAAACCATCCTATTTTTAACATTTCATATATCATTTTCAAAAATCATATTATTTTTAGTGTTCTACTCTTACTTTACAAAATTGGAACATTAAACTTCTATGCATTGCTTTGAAAAATCTTCTAATTTTAGCTATCTACTTCCCGTGTTCTTAATAGTAGCACATTGCATTTTCAAAAATCATCTCATTTTTAGCATTGCGCTTTCACTTGTTTTTTTTTTGTTGCAACTTTGAGACATCAAACTTTTAATTCCTCATCTATGCATTTTAATTTGAAAATTTTCCAAGTATAGTATTCTATTTTTCGTTTTTCTTATTAGCAGCACATATCATTTTCATTAATCATCCCATTTTGCTTTGAAAAATCTACAAATTTCAGGGTTCTATATTTAGTTTTCTACTTAGTAGCACACTGCATTTTCAAAAATAATATCTTTATAGCATTTTACTGTCACTTTTCTTTATGTTACAACATTGAAACATTAAACTCTTTTTTTCTCATGTATCCTTGTTAATATTAAAAGTCTTCAAATATTCTATTTTTATTTTTCTTATTAGTAACACATTTCATATTCAAAATACATCCTACTGTTAGCTTTTCACATAACTTTTTTATAAATCATCCCATTTTTTGCATTATAATTTTACTTTTCTTTTGTTATAACTTTGAAACATCAAATTTTTTCTTATCATCATTGCATTATACTTCGAAATATCTTCCTTTTATAGAATATTCTACTTTCAGATATCTTATTAGAAGCAAATATCATTTTAAAAAACCATTGAAACAGTAAACTTTTTTTTCTCATAAATGCATTTTACTTTAAAAAATCTTCCGAATATAGCACATTCTACTTTACGTTTTCTCATTAGTAGCATATTGCATTTTCAAAATACAACCTTATTTTGGCATTGTACTTTCACTTTTCTTTTTGTTAACATTGAAGCATCAAACTTTTTTTCCTCATCATCGCATCATATTTTGAAAATCTTCCAATTACAACATTCTACTTTCAGTTTTTTTAATAGCATCAAGTATCATTTTAAAGAACCTTCTCATATAGCATTCTTTTAAATATGCTAAATTAATGAAAAAAACTAATATAGATGGTATCTAAATGATTGTAGTTATCATTTATAAGTTCAGAGAACTTTGTTGATTTGTGATATGAAGTGTCGAATATTGAGGTCTTGGGTGTAAAAAAGAAGTGACTTAGGTGTAAAAATGGCAATGGAAGGAGTTTCTACTTTTTTTTAGAATTGATCAAATTAAGGTCAAGTTGTTTTAGAACAAATAACTTAAATCCTAACATGGTTAAATAGTTACAAAAAACGTTATACAAGTTACAATAGTTAAGGGTACATGCAAACTAATTGGATATATATCTTTTCTCAATTAATAGCACATACATTTACTTGAATCAAATCAAACTATACCTTTATTGTTGAATTTTTGGGTCATGTGTGAAAAAAATAGCGACCTAGGTGTAAAGAGTGGAAATGAAGAGAGTTTCAATTTTTTTATAAGTGACCAAATTAAGTTCAAGTTGTTCTACAAAACATAACTTAAATTTCAACTTGCTTAAATAAATGCGAAGAATGTTATAAAAGCTATAATACTTATAAAAACACATGCTAAAAATGATATATAGTTATGATATTTATTGAAGAAATCACAAAAAAAACCCCAAAATGATATATAAATTATCATTATCCTGTTTTTTTTTTTTTTTTTAAAATGGTCATTAGCTGGGAACAATGTTTCTTTTTTTTTTTTGCAAGTGTTTACCGGTTTTAGGGGCTAAATTGAAAAAAAAAAAAGACGAAGGACTTTTGGGTTAATTGAGCCAAAATTCATGGACTCTATTGCAGATTTCCCATTATAAAAGTAATGAATATCTCCATTGCTAGAAGATATTGTTTGAGTTGGTTTGGTGTCCAAAATGTTGTGTGGAATGAATGTGAGTTTGAACTAGGTTCAAAATGTTATTTATAGGGAGCCACATTACCCTTCCTCCTTTTCTGAAACACTTGCGGTTTGTATAGTGTTTTTATGCGTATCTAGGTACACTTGAATTTTGTGATATAAACAATCTCACTTCTAAAATAAATTGATTTCAAGAATTGTTCTCCTTCTCATGCGCTTTGTTTTTTCTTCAGGCATTGTAACTTCTCCTTTACTGCCTTTATTTCTTGAAACCGTAGCCTCTCACCCCCAATATCAACTTTTACCCCAACCTCTCTGAAGGGAAAACTTGAAATATTCATTCGTTTGATTTCAGAAAATCAAACCTCCGGAATCTTGAAGCAAAACAGAGAAATCAGGAACGATATTCTGCATGGGTGCCATGTATTGTAATTTTTTCATTGACATCTTTACTTTCACCCAAATCGGAGAATGCCACAGTGGACAGAAGGTTTATCTTGAGGTACTTTTTTTTAATCCTATTGATTTTAATTTAACCTTTACATGAGGTGTTAAGTACCTTTGTAGCATTCATTAAACTTACAGTTTTATTGGGGTTTGCATATTTAAATATATTAGGAATCTGGTTATGGAATATTATTATGGGTTGTTTGTGTTTTTTTAGTGTTTGACAAAATGCCCCAATGAAAAATTGAGTCAATAATCTCTTTTTATTTCCATCTTGGTAATGTCTATTATGACCCTCTTCTTTCTGATGCGATACCCCAGATGCCACTTTAGGCTAAAATTTCATCTCTGCAACTTTTTAGTTAGTTGTGGTATCTTGATATCTGGTTGTTTTTTGGTAATTGAAAAGTTTATCTGAGTAAGACAGGATGATTGGCTTTAAAATCATGATTTATTATTTTTTCCATATAACGAAATCCTCTGGTTTATGGTCCTCACATGTTAGGCCTTGAGTAAAAACAAATTTAATGTCATCTTCATGCTGCATCTATGTATTTATATGCTTACTCTTTTTATGTCTTCCAGTTGGCTGTGCTGTAATATTTTAGGGCATGTTTGTAAAAAAAATAGTGACCTAGGTATAAAGAATGGAAATGAAGAGAGTTTCCATTTTTTTATAAGTGACCAAATTAAGTTCAAGTTGTTCTACAACACGTAACTTAAATAATTGCAAAATATGTTATAAGAGCTATAATACTTATAAAAACACATGCTAAAATTGATATATAGTTATGATATTTATGGAAGAAAACACAAAAAACCCCAAACTGATAAATAATATATCATTTTCCTGTTTTTTAATAAATAAAAATGAGTTTTTCTAGTGAAAATGATGTGGATGATATCTTTATTGTGAGTTTTTTTAATAAATAGATGAGTTTTTTTTTTCATTAGTTTCGTAGATATAAAAGGAAATATTTTCAGCAAAATCTTTAAACTCAAACCCTATTAACAAGAAAGCCATTTATGATTTGTTCATTTTCAGAAAAATTCTTAAAGTTTTCAGAAAAACCTGAAAATTGGCATTAGTGGGGAACAATGGTTTTTTTGCAAGTGTTTACCGGTTTTATGGGCTAAATTGCAAAAAAAAAAAAAGAGGAAGGACTTTTGTGTTAATAGAGCCAAAATTCAGAGACTTTGGTGCAGATTTTGTGTTAATATGGTTCAAAATGTTATTTTATAGGGAGCCACATTACCAGGGTTGTGATCACTATATCCGGTTATCCTATTGAAATACGGGTCATTCGGGACCTAATGATCATTTTTCAAAATTACTTTTATTGTGGTTAAAAAAGCATTACAAAGTGGTTGGATTACTCAATTTTCAAAAAATAAATGATTATTGATAAATAAAAAGATTTCACCCAAATAAATGATTATTGAACATACATTCTCAAAATACATCTTTCTTAAGCCTTGTACTTTCACTTTTTTTTTTTTTATAACATTGAAACATCATACTACTATTTTTTTTCCTCATCCATGCATTGAACTTTAAAAAATCTTTTACTTATAGCTTTCTACTTATGTTTTTTTTATTAGTAACACATCATTTAAAAAAACTATCCCATTTTTAGCATATCACATCCCATTTTTAAAATCATCCAATTTTTAGATTGTACTTTTACTTTTCTTTCTGTTCAGACATCAATTTTTTTTTCTCATCTATGAAATTTACTCTGAAAACTCTTCCACTTATAGCACTCTACTTTCAGTTTTCATATTAGTGGCACATTGCATTTTCATAAACCATCCCATTTTTAGTATACTTTGAAAAATCTTCCATTCATAGCATCCTAATTTCATCATTGCATTGTTTTTTCAATTTCTTTTTGTTACAACATTACTACAATTATTTTTCTAGTTTCTGCATTTTACGTTGAAAAATCATCCAGTTTTAGCATTCTACTTTTAGTTTTCATAGTAATAGCACATTACGTTTTCATAAATCTTCTCATTTTTAGCATTGCACATTTTTTTAAAAAATATTCTATTTTTAGCATTGCAGATATTAATTTTAAAAATCAGCCAAATTTTGCATTGTACTCTAAGTCTTCTTTCTGTTACAACATTGAAACATCATTTTTTTTTTCTCATTTATGCATTTTACTTTGAAAAATCTTCCATTATAACATCCTAGTTTTTGTTTTCTAATTAATAGCACATTGCATTTTCAAAAATCATCCCATTTTAAGCATTGAAACATTGAAACATCAAACTTTTGTTTTTCTTATCTATGCATTTTACTTAAATTTTTTTTTTTCCAATTTAACTTTAAACTTTCAGTTTTATTATTACTACACATTGCATTTTAAAAAATTATCCCTTTTTTAACATATCATTTTTAAAAATCTTCCCATTTTTAGCATTGTACTTTAGTTATTCTTTATGTTACAACTTACAACCTTGAAACATTAAACATGAGACATTTTTTTTTCTCATTTATGCAATTTACTTTGAAAAATCTTCCGATTAAGGCATTCAACTTTCAGATTTCATATTCAGTAGTAGTGTAGTACCTTACGTTTTCAAAATCATCCTATTTTTAGCACTGTTTTTCACTTTTCCTTCTTTTATAACATTAAAACATCAATTTTTTTCTCATCTATTCATTTTACTTTGAAAAACCTTACAATTAAAACAGTCTACTTTATGTTTTCTAATTAGCAGTCCATTGCATTTTTAAAAATATTCTATTTTTAGCATTATACTTTTACTTTTCTTTATGTTACAACATTAACATCGAAGCATTAAACTCTTTTTTACCTTATCTATGCATTTTCCTTTGGAATTTTTTCCAATTACAACATTCTACTTTTTATTTTCGTATTGGTAGCACATTTCATTTCCAAAATACATGAGTACTTCACATATCTTTTGTTAGAAAATCATCCCATTTTTGGCTTTTATTGTTTCACTTTTCTTTTTGTTATAATATTGAAACATCAAAACTTTTTTCCCTATCATTGCATTAATCATTGAAAAACCTTCCAATTAAAACAGTCTACTTTATGTTTTCTAATTAGTCATTGCATTTTTAAAAATTATTCTATTTTTAGTATTATACTTTTACTTTTCTTTATGTTACAACATTAACATCGAAGCATTAAACTTTTTAACCGCGATAAGGCCTCATGTATCAACATTAACATACACATTTAAAGTTTAAAACAGCATTCATTAAAGAATAATACAATGCTTTCCAAATCATTAAAACAATAAAAAGGGGCTGTGAATACTCACAGTGATTTGAAATTGTGATAACAATGCCTTGAATTAAAATTCCACACTTCCTACTGCAGATGCTCTACGATAATATTACACAGTAGTGAGTTTCTAGTTTAATTTCTAACATTAAATATACTTAACTTCCTACTTGTAGAAAAATTGTCAAATTTTGTTTTTATATAGGTTGTAATTACTTTTCTGTAATATTCTGATTTTTATAAACCATTTAACTTACTAACATTTTCAGGTGTTAAATCCCTTTTTTTGTGGTATGATTACCAATATATTTTAATACTTTTGGAGGTGCTTTAAGTGTTAAAAATTCAAAAATGCAACCAAAACAAAACTATAAATTACCAAACCTTTTATTTTTGTTATAATAGTAATCAAGAACCTTCTGATAAATTTTCATGATTTTTAGATAAGTCTAGCTATTTTTCCACCATTTAATCCATGTAATATTCAGTAAAAGTTATTTTTTAAAAAGCAGAACCTGATTTTATAACTTATGTTTAATAACAAGAAAATCAGAACAAATTAATAAACAATACTAAAAAGAGTTCAAACTTCATGTTTATAAATCTCTTTATATACATATTTGCAAATTTTTTTAACGAACTTTGAGCATCAAGCATTCAAGCTAAGAAGTTCACCACACGTATTATGATTTGTAGACATTGCATAGGTGATGATCATCAAAAGCTTGTAGAAAAGTCTATTTCTTTGGTTTTGACATATGTTAGGTCATGGATCTTCACCATCTTGTAACATGCAAGATGTTTTTGTCTTTTTGATGAAGATCTACCACCATCATCATCAAATCCGGAATGTGTGATGAGCATGCACATGAAGAAGAAATGCAAAGAAAAACATGTAAACTTGAATGAAATGTTGGGGAAAGGTAAAAATGAGTGTGGTCTTTGGGAAAGAGAGGTTTTGGTAGGAGAGTCTCTCTCTTAATATTTTACCACACATTTATAAAAAATTTCCTCTTTCTATAAGATGTGCATAAGGCCTACTTTTATCTATAAATTGAAATTTACTTTCATTGTTTATATTCCTTAATTTTATTTATTTTTAATTAATATTATAAGATTCATAGTAATTTTTATTGAATTCTAGATGCTAAATTTTATAAGTTTTAAGTTCTTAAGGCTTTTAGGATTTTAAGAACCAGTTAGTCTTTTGGAAATCATAAATAGGGTTTCATTTCATTTTTTCATTTTAAAAATGATTGTAATTCATTATCAAATAATTCACATTCTATATAGTAGTTAAACGATTCACGTGAGATGTAAGAGTATATTAGCTCTTTTTTGTAATTGGATCTAAGTTCCTACAAGTCTCTGACCTAATTTCTATTATTAGGTCAAGGATAGTATGTGTCTACATGTTTCATACAAAAATGTTCTAGTCAAGGATAGTAAGTTGTTTTCTTTTGCTCTAGTGTAGTTTTAGTCAGTTGATATCTTTATAAAACTGACCTTAATTTGTTTACACAGTTGATATCTTTTGCTCTAACTAACTAATCAGTGATTGTTCTTTTCCTATTTATTATTTGGCACACAACCCTATTATTAAGGGTGTTAACTAAAACATACAAAGCATTGTGTATGGATTAATGGTGTATGACTTTATATATAAACTGTGTTTTAAGCAGATTAGAATGGAGAAATTAGGAGATAGAATTGCATCGTTTCAACAGATAGGAACCATGAGGATATCATGACTGTAAAATGCCCAAAGGCCAAAAGGAAGAGCAATAACAGAGATGTAAAATGCCCAAAGGCCAACAGATAGTCATTCAATTTCCTTCTTTATTCCACTCCTCTTTCCATTTTGTTAAAGCCACCAATTCCATAAAAAAGTATCAAAATGACCAAATACCCCCACCTTAAACATAAAAAACACTGATACTTTGTTAGGTAAGTACTAATTTCATGATCTTTCATTTAATCCCTTCACACCAGAAAGACATGATTCATTTAGCCCTTGATTTTAAATATTAGTTTAGAAAAAGGACATTGAAAAGTAGGATGCTATTTTGTGACATGGCTTTGTGAAACTTTGTACACAGGTGATGACTGAAAGGACAAATGTCCTTGGAATGAAGAACTTTTGTGGGAGACGTTTCAATGCTTACAAGGACTGCAGGGGATTTAGGAGGCCATATGTTGACTATGACCAACGGCCTGACATGTTCAGGTCAAATTAAAATCACCAGTTTCTTGAAGCAAACTGTTTGTATTGTCTTACTTAATGTCCATTTGGATTCATATTCAATAGCCATGTGATTGCAGGGGAACAGTTAGATATGCTAGTGTGCATGCACACTTGGGTAGGACTGCAAGTAGAAGAGATGATCTGGAATCTCTTGCATATACACTCATATTTCTTCATCGAGGCAGGCTTCCTTGGCAAGGGTATCAGGTATTAATTATTACATCATGATTCACCAGATTCTTTTATTGCCATATATATATATATATATATATATATATATATATATATATATATATATGAGATTGTGCTTTGGTAATCTTATGTTGTTTTTCTAGGGTGACAATAAATCATTTCTAGTGTGCAAGAAGAAAATGGCGACATCTCCTGAAATGTTGTGTGTGTTTTGCCCTGCACCTGTAAGGCAGTTTCTGGAGATAGGACCCAATCCTGCTATAAACACAGATGGTGCTCAAAAGGTGATTCATTTTGTTGCTACTTAACTTACTAGTGTGTATCATATGATCTGTTGTTAAATTAAAGAGTTGATCACTTTTGTTTTTTTAAAACTTCAGATCATCTGTCAAGTTGGTCAAAAGCGGGGAAGATTGAATCTTGATGAGGATGATGATGGACAGCCTTCAAAGAAAATCCGAATGGGAGTCCCTGCAACACAGTGGATTTCAATTTACAATGCCAGGCTAGCAATGAAACAAAGGTTGGTGCTACCTTTGATTTATTTTATATTCTCTGGGCCTCTTGTATCTAAAATGGGGTTGTGGTGCATTAGGTATCATTACAATGTTGCAGATGCAAGATTAAGCCAACATGTTGAGAGAGGAAATGCTGATGGCTTACTTATAAGCTGTGTGTCATCTTGTTCCAACTTATGGGCTTTGATAATGGATGCTGGGACAGGGTTTTCAAGCCAAGTTTATGAACTTTCTCCTTTCTTCTTACACAAGGTACAGACTATTGAGTGATAAATGCTGTGTTTGGAAAAAAGAAAGTTATTTATTTGATAATATTGATGGATGTTGCAGGAATGGATTATGGAACAATGGGAGAAGAAGTATTACATCAGCTCTATTGCTGGTGCTAACAATGGAAGCTCTCTGGTGGTTATGTCAAAAGGTATGTTGAGCTTTTCTTTTAAGATTAGTATGCATAATGCATGTATTGTGTATTCTTATTTTATGAAGTTTTAGGGACACAGTACTCTCAACAGTCTTACAAAGTTAGCGACTCGTTCCCTTTCAAGTGGATAAACAAGAAATGGAGAGAAGGGTTTCATGTGACATCCATGGCAAAATCGAAACATTCTAAAATATGGTTAATGTGGAAGGAGATAAATGTCATTGATGAGCAACAATCGTTGCTTGGGCTGGACTTTCGGCATTATGGAAGGAGAAGAACACCGTTTGTCTGTGAAATTGCAATGATCTCGACCGTGGTGATCATAGAGAACGAGGGAAATACAGATCAACCGGTAAAGAAACTGAAGACGAAGAGGGGTTTATTGTTGACGACTTTTAGCGGCAAAGTCTGCTCATTTGCGGAGGAAGACAACACGGAGTGTCCTACTTTTGTAAGCTTATTACACCTTTGAAACTTGATCCCAAACACCCCTATATTTTGCTATGATTAAAACCTTAATCGGTTTCCGATTAGGGCTTTGAGTTTAGGCGCTTCCAGTTTCACTTCTGCATAAACCAGGCTAATGTACAATTCGTCTTTCTCTTTTTAGTTTATTAGTATTTCAAACGCTCTGCGTTATAACACTTTTCTTCTTGAAATGGATTTGCGTGTCTGCATAATTGTAAGTGAAAAAGATCTGAGTTCCAAGAACTTTATAACAAATATGCAGATCGTTTGATTTAAAGTAAACGATTACATTTCCTTGTTAATTTTAGTAAATGTGTTTTCAAATCCAAGTATCCATTATTCTTTCTTGGATTGTCTACATTTAATTCAATCTTACTATTCATCTTTGCAGGTGAGAGCTGAACCCTAATTGAAGAAAAAAAATGAGTTCGAGATTCTGAAGAGATTCTTTCACATATACTCTCTTTAATGCCTACAAGTTTTGCTGTGCGAACCAGCATTTTATCCAAAAGATGGAAATACTGTTGGAGGTTGATCACAAACCTTGACTTGAACGATTATTACCTTGGCTATAAGCGTGCAAAAGTCAGATGTTGCAAAGTGGATTAACGAGGCAATTAGGTTAAATGTTTGTGAGCTTGACATACATGTTAGTCCAATTGGCTTTTTAATTAAGAGCATGCAATGTTTGACTTTTAATTTGCTGTTTTTGTTGAAGGAATTTGTACATTCACATTTGCCCAAGTTTCTCATTTTGAAGCATTTGGAATTGAAGGATTCTTTCAAATCTCCATGGATCTTTGTTACTCAAATTCTTGAAAGCTCTCCTGAGTTGGAGCATTTATGTTTTGAAGAGGTAATTGGACTGTTTCTAAGCTTTGGCGTGTCTTATTTTCCTAAGTTATTATTCCACACAAAACATAACATGTGGTTGTGTATCTGGTTATGTGATGAAATTAAAGCCGGTAGACATTAGCTGGATTGAGCCTGAGTCAGTTCCCACTTGTATGGTTTCGAACCTTAGAACCTTGAAAATTACAAAGTGCTAGGAGCGAAAGTGTGATATACAGTTCCTTGAATACATATTGGGGAATTCAGAGGTTTTGAAGACAATAACAATCATATGTGGAAGTATGCGCATGAAGGATGAAATGGAAATGTGTGCACGCTTATTAAAGTTTCCAAGAGCTTCTAGGTTTTGTGAGATTCATTTTTTTGGGAAATGGCTTAATTCTTCTACGGGGTAACTAGAAGAATATATATATATATATATATATATATATATATATATATATATATATATATATATATATATATATAATATATATATATATATATAAGGTTGGTGCATTAAAAATTAAGGAAAGTGGGATGAGATGGATGCCTGTGGAATAAAGGGGTGATTTTTGTGGAATTAAGGATGGTTTTTCTGGAATTTTACCGCTCCAAAGAGGTTGTGTGTATCTCACTTAGGGGTTTTTTTTTGGTGTGTAAGGCACTCTTCCTCCACTCTCACCACCTCCATTTGTTTCTTCACCCCAGGTTTGCCAATGGTTTTCTCCCTCCGGTTTCCATCTTCCATTTAGACTGGTGAGTCATGCATGTAGCCTTGCCACCGTCTCATTCTAGCTGGCCACGTGCATCGATACCAACTGGCCACTTCTCTTTTTTCCTTTCCAAATATACCGCCATACACGACATTCTTTTCTCTCGATCGTTTCATTCTCTCATTTCTCACTGCTTACCCGTTTTCTTTCCTCTACTTCAAAGAAGACACCGATCTGCCATCCGTTTTTTTCCGCAATTGGTCATCTTTTGCATCTCTACTTTAATTTTAGGTTTTTGGTCTCTTGGCTAAAGTTTTAATCATAGAGGTAAAGTAATTTTGTGATTTCGTTTGATGGCGTTTTAGACTACACCCTGAAGCTTCTCCAGTTTTTACTACTTCTGTTTCATCCTTGTCTCCATTAGTTTTTTATTTAGATTTCAAACAATTAAATGGTTCAGTCAAGAGGTGATACAAGAAAATATGATACCAATTACAGTTTGATCGACACTGTATTTCTACATTCACTTTCTACTTTTATTTTTAACATTTGATGTTTCTTTTTGGTTTCTCACAAGCTGGAAAGTTCCCAAGAAGCTTCATGGTGTGTATCGCAGAAGAAGAGCCATCTTTCTCTCTTAGAGAATGGGCATCCCTTTCCGGGCGATATTGACACAATTTTCTAATTTACTTTTCTTACTGTTCATCGTGTTGTTATTAGGGATAATTGTCGTGTGTAATTTGTGTTTGTTACTAATTCACATTTGGCATTTGTTTTGGACAGAATTTTTCGCATCCCCCTTATCATATTGTGCTTTGGTGAAGTAAATTGGCGCATGAAAGAATCTTCTTCTATTAACTCCTTACAACCACTCCTCTGTCATCAATGCCGAAAGCTGATCGATTGTGTATTAAAACATCCCTAGCCCTTCCAACGTCTATATGCCCATCGACTTTTTATCTTCATCTCTTATGCGTTAACAATTTTAACTGGCAAGTCAATTAGGATTTACTTGAATTGTCGATTGTCTCTCTACATCCGTTTCAATTCATAGGTTGTTTCGTTTTAAATTTTAACTGATTTTGATCTAATATATTTGATATTTTTGCATTTTCATTCTCGGTGGTGGTGAAGGAATTTGACGCAAGCTTCGAAATGCAGGGCCTGGTATGTTCTTTCGTCACTAATCTGTCATTTTTAGTTATATTTCTCTTCCTTTTTTGTCTCTATCTAGAGAAGATAGAACGCAGTGAGTTTTTCCACTTCTCTATTCCACACAAAAGCCCAATTTGATTGCATATATGAAATATAGATGCGAGAAATAACATTGTTAGCTATAAGTTCTAGGATTTGTTGTTCCATAATTGTAGTTCCGTTCTTCAGTGGATTATGGTGCTGACTTTTTTTGTTGAAATTATGTGATTTAAAAAAAGTTTTTTGTAGTGTTAAATGGCGCTAGAAAGCTTGTATCATTTTTAAGTTTGACATATTTTGCACCATTTAGTCTTCGCCGTTTAGGTTCTTGTTGGATGCATCCTTTCTATTGAACATATAAGTTATTTAAACATGTTTTGTAAAGTAAAATGATTATCAGTCTATAATATAATCTGGATGGAAAGTTCAAGGTTGGTTGCGTGCGTGGCTTTTCAATTGTTTATTTTTAAGTTTGAGTCATGCAAATATGGTTTCATGATTATGTTCTAAAACCAACTTGTTTTGTATAGCGGCTTTCCTATGTTTCTTCTGGTATATCAAACATATCACATAGATTCATATAATGTTTTGGGAAAATTGCAAGAATAGGAACGTACTTTAATCCTACCGACATAGGCTATGTGCTTTATAACAAAAATGTTTTATGATTTTGCTATTAGTTCTGTTTTTTATTTCAGATGACATGGAAATGATGAGGAGTTTTTTTTTTTTTTTGTTGCAACGTTAATTAGCTATTGATCCCACGGCTAACGAGTTGTCTATAAAGTATGACTTTAAGTTTTTTTATATTAATTAGAATTATAAGGCATGGACGAAGGTAATTTTTTCCGTACAATTGTAATAAAGTTGTAAATGCTTTTATTTGATTAAATATTTATTTGAGATGTTTTTTTTATTCTAATACTAGGTCATTGGGTTGCTGATGAAATATGGACATCTTATGTTGAAACCTTGGTGGCATGTTTCTTCTATGATTTCCTAATATCTAAAAACTAAATTCACCAATTTACCTGTCATCATCGTTGCAACTATTAATATGTTGGTTTTGGTCGTATGGTATTTTTCCATTCAACAACTATAACTGTATTGTGTGTCTGACACTTAAATGCTATACACCAATAATTACCGTGTTGAAAGATTTGCAGAATTTTACAAAGAACCCTCCGTGGGTCGTGCTTAGCACGGTCTTAGACGTCCCTGGTATATATATATATCCTGCTTTTGTACTTTGCATTCCAGTTTTACCTGGTTACTTTTTCCCTTGATTTCTTACAACTGTTTGTGTTTTTGCTTTGAGGAATGGGCTAAATGCAAAAAATTGCAATGTACTTTTCTTACAACTGTTTATGTTTTTGTTTGTGTTTTGTGCTGGTATTATTTGTTTTTCATACAAATACATCATAATAGTGAAATCTACTAAATTACAAAATTGTACTTTGAATTTTTCTTATAGCAATGAAAAGTTATATCTAGATGACATTAATTGTTATAAAATGAGGTCATTTTTCAAAAATGTAATATTGAAATCTGACAAAATAAAAATAAAATTGGAATGTTGTAATTAACACATATGAAAGCACTCAATTATAGCAAAGCACTTTGATTATTTATTTTTGACAAAATTGCAAATTTGGTCCCTATGGTTTGTCAAAATTTGGGACTTTGGTTCAAAATGTTTTGGCGTTGCACCACTGGTCCAAAAGGTTTTGACTTTAAGCTATTTTCAAATAACAATTGTACCTTTATCTTTTCATTTTTTTGCTTTTTCTTTTTAATTTCTATATTTATAAGAAAATAAAAAATAAAAATCCTATCTGCATTACATACACTCAAACCCAAACCTGCAAACACAAATATTCGTCATCACCGGACCTCCGGCTCTCTGACAAAGGTCACTGCCACCACTCGTCGGAACTTATGAACGCCACCGCCACCATTGCCGGTCTATACCACCACTACATGTCAAAACCACCACCACCATCGATTTCCCGACAAAGATAAATCGAAGGGTAAACAGTAGTGGATGATCTCCGACAACAACCAGCTGGTGGGCGGTGCTCTATTGATTTTCATAGATTTTAAAACCGACGGCAACCATGTAGATATGAAAACCGAAGATGTCAACTTCGCCTTTGCCACCAGAGTTGTTCATCACCGACGATAAAGGTTTGGCTAGGACCGTTGTAGCGGCGCTGAAGTCTGTGATCGAGTTTCCAACATCTTCGTCAAGGTTTCAGTGTCGCCATATGTCGAGGTTTTGCAGACCCGAGCTAGGGTTTGTAGAGGTGTTTGGATTTGAGGATTCGAAACGACCAACTTGTCTGTGGCTCGAGTTTTCATCGTTATCGCCTCTGTAGAACTTTGGTAGTGGACGAAGAACTCTGATCTCCGTCTGTGGATGGACGGAGAAGTCGCTCATGTCTCTCTTCGTTTTTGTAGTTCCGAGTGTATCTCTTCGTCTCCCTCCTACTGACGACGACTTCAGGTGGTGCTGGTTGTGCAACCAATGACGGCTTCTTGTAGTTAGGGGTATGTATGGGGCGATGTGGTTCGGTTTTTGGTTAAAATCGAATCATAACTATTATGATTGGTTAATGCATTTTTGTAGCCATTGGTTATGATTAATGGTTTTTATCGGTTAACAGTT